TGTCCAGGCTTCTCCTGGAGCGTCCTTTACCAGGACGAGATAGTGGAGAACTTCCACAAGAAGAGGCAAGGGATGATGGTTCCTCTGAGGCCGTGCTGCCTCCGGGACGTTGCGGGGACGCCCCTTGGGCATGCTCGTGCTGCTGCATGCTGGGTGGTGAAGGCTCTGGAGTCCTCACCGGAGTCACAGTGGCTCCCGCCCCTGTCAGTACTCCGCTCACATCATCCTCCTCCGTCGGGCTCTGCAAGTACAACACTGTAGTAAATTTTCTAGAGTTCAGAGGTTGTTTCTCACCCTTGACTGGTGGTTGGTGCAGATGAGCCCTGGTGCGATCCACGGTGTTGCCACTAGGGAGCTGGACCGTGTACGAGCGAGGTCGAGAGGATTCTTTGATGACGGTGACAGGCGTCCACTGGGATCTTGGGCCTTCAACTCTGGTGTAAGCCGGCCCCGGTTGGAGTGGTTTCCTTGGCGCTGCACCTCGATCATAGTAGGATTTCTGCTTATCTTGCCGAGACTGGAGCGCCTTCGAGATTTCCTTGTAGTTGACTTGCTTAGGCTGCTGCATCTGCGGAGTGAGTGGAAGCTTCCCTCTCAATCGTCGACCCATCAGAATCTGCGCAGGGGAGAGATCATTAATTATTGGCGTGTAACAAATCTCAAGAACACATTGGTGAGGGTCTCTTCCTGCTGCCAGCGCCTTCTTAACGGTCTTCTTGATGGTTTGGACATGCCTCTCTGCCATTTCGTTGCTCTGTGCGTAGTGGGGACTGGAAGTGATTGTCTGCATGCCTCACTCTTTGGCGAATTCCTTGAAGTATGCTGAGACAAAGCAAGTGCCATTGTCCGAGACCATCACCTGAGGAGCTCCATGCTGCGAAAAGACAGATTTTAGCTGAGTTACCACTGTTCCTGATGACAGATTTGCCAGATTAGCCAATATGGTAAATATAGAGTAGTAGTCAACTAAGAGGAGATAGTTGGATCTCCTATATTCAAATGCATCAGCAGCTAATACAGTCCATGGACTTTTCGGGATGGGATAAGGTCGCAACGGCTCCTTCACCTTCGCAGACTGAAACTGAGCACATAGTCGGCACTGCTGAATTAAGTTCGTAATCTCTGCATTCATTTTGGGCCAAAAGAGAACACCCCGAGCTCTGGCTCTGCACTTAGTGATTCCTTGATGGGCAAAGTGAATCTTATCAAGCATGCTTTTTCTCAATGAAGCTGGAATTATTATTGCAGTTCCCTTACATTGCAACCCATCATGTTCATAAATGTCAGTTTTGCAGGTTGCAAATTAACGGAGCTCTTCATCAGGTTCATGCATGAATTCCTTTGGCCAACCTGTTCTGATGTATTTGCGCAGCCTCTGCAGTGTGGAGTCCTTGGCGGTTTCAGCTCTGATGCTCTGCAGCCTTGAATCCACTATTGGAAGAGCTGCTGTCACGGCTGCGACTTGAAGTTCCATATCTTGGTGAAGCTCCAGCATGCTGATTTCTATCTCCTTGTCTTCCTGGATGAATGCTCGAGAAAGCGTATCTGAGATGTACATTTCCCTGCCTGGCCTGTGAACTAATTGGATATTATATCTCTGGAGCCGCATCATCATTCGCTGAAGCCTTGGTAGACAGTCATTAATTAGCTTTCGAAACACACCAATCAGAGGCTTGTGATCAGTTTCCACCACGATTTCCTTGTGGTAAACGTACTTGTGAAACTTTTCACATCCATACACAATGGCAAGCAATTCCTTCTCTATTTGCGAGTACCTTGTTTCAGCTGGTGTGAGCGCCCTTGATGCATATGCTATCGGGTGGCCATCCTGAATGATTGCTCCTCCCAGGCCATTCCTCGAGGCGTCAACTGACATGGTGATGGGCTTGTTGACATCGAAGTACTTAAGGACTGGTGCTGATGCCAACGCCTGCTTGAGCCGTGCAAATGCTTCTTGCTGAGGATGATCCCAGTGCCACTCAATTTGCTTCTTCTTCAGGAGGCGAAGTGGTGCTGCAATATTAGGAAGGTTAGGGATAAATCGTGCAACATACTGAACCATGCCCAGAAACCTTTCCAATGCCTTGATATTATCTGGAGTCTTGATGTTCATTATGGCTCTGACTCTGCTCTCCGCCGGGGTTATTCCTGATGCAGCAAAGTTGTG